GGTGTTTAAGGAGATAATAGACATCATAGGGTTAAAGCTGACCGAAAGTCCAGAGGTAGCATTGGTATCAGTTTATGATGGCGTGGAAGGTACGCAGGCTATGAAGGACCTGTTCACATTTATTGATAGCTGCATGAATTATTATAGCCAGGAAGTGGAAGGGGCAAGCAGAATATAAAATGGAAGAGTGGCATAAAGAGGTGTGGGATATACAGGTGAAACTCGAAAAATTAGAATATCATGGAAAAGTTCATTTATTTCAGTAATTCAACTTGAAAGGTGAAACTAATATATGAGATTGACTCATGACATGCAAAGCGAGATGTGTTTCTACTTCTCAGAGGTCCAATCTTGCTCGATTTGCAATCCTTGTTTTGCTGATTTCATTTAATATTCTAATTTTCTAAGATTGTTAATTGGGGGTTTTCATCAGCTGTACGCCATGATCATCAGAATGATAAATCAAGGCTTGACATATCTTGCTTTGCATGTCACGAGTCTATCTCATATATTAGTTTCACCTTTTAAGTTGAATTAGTGAAATTAAGGAACTTTCCCATGATATTCTAATTTTTCGAGTTTCACCTGTAGCTATTAACGATAAATTAACATGTGCCATTAAGGTAAGACGGGACATATGTAGGAGGCAATATGGAAGGTGTTTGTAGAATTTGTACTGTTAAAACGGAAAGGGGTCAAACCATTGCAAACAAAAATTCATACCAAAGGTTCATCTTGTGAAAATAAGGCAAGAAAACCCCATTTTATGCTATGCTCAAGAACGGACAGCTCAGGAGCCATTCTATGGACTCAGCTATACAGCTGCAAATAAAATATTTTAAATGTGTTATAAAGTACAACATACAAATGTGACACTAGATGTCGACAGTGAGCTATGCAAAATTCAATGTATTTTTCAAAACTTTTAAAAATACATTTTAAAACATTTATCTTAATTAGCTTTGTAAATACCGTATTTTTCGCTCTATAACACGCACCGGACCATAACACGCACGTAGTTTTTAGAGGAGGAAAACAAGAAAAAAAAAATATTCTAAACGAAATAGTGGATATATGATTTTTGTGGTTCATGCTGTGGCCACAGACATGTGATCTGACAGTGAGTTTGGAGTAGCCCAATGCAAAAATCCTGAGGATCCATGTGGATCCATGCTTTGTAACTATGGAGGAGGGAAGGAAGGGGAACCATGGATCCTCTGCTCACGACTGCAGCAGATCCCCCCGCCACCCGCAGGCATTCGCTCCATAACACGCACAGACATTTCCCCTTACTTTCTAGGAGGAAAAAAGTGAGTGTTATGGTGCAAAAAATACGGTAATTAGTCTGGATCCTACTCTGCTTGTCCTCTTCTCCTGCCAGGCAACCAGTATGCACAAAGGAAGCCTATGGTCAGAGCATACAACTTTAACTGTGACAATGTGTGTAGTTTGCTGGAAGTGTGTGTGTGGGGGGGGGTAGTTTGTCTCCTGGCTTCCCTCCCAAAAGCATTTGCTTTTTGCCTCTGGCAAGCAGATTAGTGACCAATTGCACAACTGATCTCAATCTTGTTGCCTAATTCTTAGTAAGCAATTCTGAAGAGGGTTTTTTGGGGGGGCATGCACTCCCAGGCACATTTGATGTGCAGTTAGTGCAAGTAGTACTCATGGTGACTGAGGCAGTGATGACTAAGGGGTAGTATCTTTGGTGTAATAATCATTTGGTCAAAAGCCTCAGCTTTTAGGTAGGATCATATCTCCCCACTTCCTATAATATATTTCAAACAGGGTAAGCTGGGATCTCAACCATGAAGCATACTGCAGTGGCTCTCCATGTTTTCAAATAGGGGACTTCCTCAGTTCCACATGGAGGTGCCAGGCTGTGAACCTGGGAAACTCCCAGCACTAGCCCTTTGGTTAATACACCTTTCCTGAAAGGAAATAATTCAGTCTGTGAGGGTTTCACATATGAATTACAGGTGCAGGAAACTGTCCTGATTTTAAAACTTTTGAATACATCATTTCTAAAGGAATTTGGTGGCTGCAGACGTTTGTAGCATCAGTTCTGTCCTGTCTTAACACATGTGATCCAGTGTTTACCTGCCTCTCTCTTCCTGTTACTGTTTCATCATATTAGTTATAAATACCAAAGAAGGTATTGCCACTCTAGGGAAATGGAAAGTCAGGGTTAAGAAGTTTTGTCATTCTCGTCCGACAGGCAACCTACTTCACCTCTCTGTATGGTAATAGTTTATACTTGCATTACTACTCCTACTCAGAGTATAAAATGATGGGCGTGGTTATCTTAGGTACATTAATTTATGCAGTTCTATTCTGAATGGCATCTGCCAGGATGCACAGAAAAGTATAACAGAATACTGTTGAAAGAAAACTAAGTTTTTAGATGTATGCTTCTGGCTTGACCCAGGAGTGCTGAGGTCACAGGAATAGGTCTATGATGGGTGGGTGAGTAGGAAAGAGGGTGCCTCAGGTGAACCATTGAGGGAACAATGGCCCTGCCCCAGAGAGGCTGCATTTTAAAAGCATCTGTCCAAACAATGGTTGCCCAGAAGACTGCAAGCTCTGGAGCACTTGCTCAGCTAACAGTAGCAGCTGCAGCCTGTTTATGAGCAGAGGCCTACACATGAGTAGGGAGATGAGGCATGGAACAGAAAATAAGCAGCTATCAGAGAGAAAAACCCCCAGAGTTGTTCACAAAGCAAGTCTTGAAAGGTGTTTGTTAATCCTCTTTGAAACTCTTGGGCAGTTGGTTGATAAGAGCATCATAGATGGGGTAAAGGGATTAATTATGCTGGTCCTCAAAGCCCAGCCCCTTAAAGCAACCAGCTTCTTTTAGCAACCTGTCTGTACATTTTAACTCTTATCTCAGGGCTGCTATCAAGCAATGTGCCTCTCTCTCCCCTCTGCCACTTCACCTGTCTGGGACAGAATATGGCTTCATTCTGCAAACCTCAGTAAAGTTTGGTGTCACCCATAAACAGCTTAGGAGGTGGGCTAGTTACTCTATTTTACAATGAGGCATACTTAGGATTCTATTATCTACAAACCACAGTGATTGTTTATTAGCCATTGGCATTATTTTTTCACTTTGAATTGGATTGCTAAGCTATTCTGCTTCTTTGGCGATCACTCGCAGCCGAGTAAGATTGTCTTCCATAAACACTGTTTTAACAATGAGTCCGTAAGTGACTGTGGAGGCCAATTCTGGAGCCACACGTCCTTCCACAGTGGGGACATTGGTCTCCATAGCTGTCAACTTTCCCCTTTACTTGCGAGGAATCCTATTCTGAATAAGGGAATTTCCCTTTAAAAAGGGGAAAAGTTGACAGACAGGAGTTGATCACGGTGTGGATTTGCTAAGCGTGCCTTCCACGTTTCTCCCTTGCGGCCTGAGTTTGACATTTTAGTCCCTAATCACATCCCCAATATAAAAGGAGGACTTTATCAGCATATGAACCAAGTATTCAGGAAATGTATATTAGCATGCAGGTGCTCAAGGAGCTGGAGAACATAGGCATAGCTGTCAACCTTCCATTTTTTTGGCGGGAAATTCCCTTATCCCTTTGCTGCTTCCCACTGCTATCCCGGATTGTTAGCTATCCCGTAGACTGTCCCCGGGACAGGTGAGGCTTCTGGTCCCTTATTTTCGAGGCTGCTGGTCCCTTATTTTCAAATCTGAAAGTTGACAGCTATGAACATAGGAAGCAGTCTTATTCAGGGCCATTTCTTCATGGCCCCTGGGCAGTGTATGTCTCAATGAGAGCACCTGAGGGTGTGTCGCTTTCCGTCTGACAATGCAGTGCAGGTATCTTGTATATTCCCACGTTATAGTTAAAACGAATATGAAACCCCCTCCCCACTTTTCTCTCTCAGACCGTGTCCCCCCCGTTTGCCCAGCTCCAGGGGCGGCAGCCTCTCCTTCCCGCCTCCGCTCTTTCCCACCCCAGCAGCCAGACGCCGCCTCGCCTCCTCCTTGGAAACCCCCTCGGCTCGCCCCCCGAGACCGCCATCGCACTTACTCGCTCCCCCTTATTTCATTTCTAACCCCCCCCCCATCCTCATCGCCGCGTGCTGCTCCTTTCCCACTTCATCCTCCCCTGGCTAAAGGCTGACCTCGCCTTCCCGCCTCGTGGAGCAGCCTCTCCTGCCTCACGCGACGCCTCCCATCTCCACACTTTTCGCGCTTCTTTACCTCAGCCTGCCTTTCCCCTCACGCCGACCTTCGCCGAACTCCATTCCTCCCTTTGGCTTTTTACCTCAGCTTCCCTCCCCGCTTCAGTCGCTTCTCCCTCAGCGGCATCTTTTGGCTCTCTCACTCCTTTCTTTTTTTTAACCTCAACCTTCGTCCCTAATTATACGCAGTTTTATATTTATATTCCATCCTGCTATCTTTCTCCTCCACTTTTTACCTCACCCGCCTCCGGGCCCTCCTTTCCCTCCTTTCCCCCCCAAACCCTCTTCTTTCCGCACCTGCCTAACGCCTTTTTACTTTACCTTACCCAACCGCACCTTAATCACCCCCCCTCTATATTTTTAAAAAGACCATAAGCCCCGCCCCTTTCTGGTTAAGCCCCCGAGGGGAGGAGGAGGCGCTCCGTATTCTAAGCCAAAGCATTACGCATTTTGCTCAGCTCTGCGCACGCGCTAACCCCTCAGGTACAGCAACTGGGACGCCGAAAGGGGAGACTTACGCACTTTGCGCGGAACGGGAGATAGAAGAGCCGGGGTGCGTAATGTGCGTAACGGGGGCTGGAGGGGGGAGCGACGTCACAGGTAGAAAAAAACATCGGCGGGCATCTTACGCCAATTCCGTTGGCCGTGCCGCTGTTGCGCAGGGACTCGGGGAACGCCGCGCTACGCCACTTGCGTGGCGGGCTGCGCTACCGGCGTAAGGCGGCTCTGCCTCGCGCACTCGTCCTCTCTCAGGTGCAGGGAAAGAGGGAGGGTGGGAAAGAGGGCGGGCTCACCGTTGCCCGGCAGCCCTGGTCCGGGCCCAGCCTATGGGGGCGCTGGGCGCTGTCACGTGGCCCTGGAGCCCCCGAACGCTGCCTGCTGCGGAGCTTGCAAGAGCCGGACCGAGCCGGGCCGGGGGGACTGTGTGGAGGCGGGTAAGGACCCCCCCCCCTGGGGATAACGTGGTGGGGGGATGCAGCGCGGAGCATGCAAAGGGTCTGGAGGCGGCGGGAGGGGGGTGCAACGTGCAAGATGGAAAAGGGGCGGTGCAGTGGAAATCGAGGGGAAAATGGGGCTCCATCCTTCGGGGGGCTGGGGAGGGGGGCGTCGAGGGGGTGCAGCTGGGGACGGAGGGCCATATGGCCCCGGCAGCACAGGCGTCTCCGCTGAGAGCTCCGAATCTCCGATCCTGACACATGCACCCTTGCTACCGAGTGCGCCCCCCCCCGCACTGGACGCTGTGCGGGTTCGCTTCCAAGTAAATTTGCATAGGACCCTGCTGTGCGAAGCAGTGGGAGGGGGCTCCCCCTTGATGGTGATGGCAGGGGTCCGTGGGAAGAGAGGCTGCTGCTGTGGCAGGGTCATAATGGTGCGTGGGACAGCAAGGTGTGGTGGGAGAAGGGGAGTTGTGGAGGCTGGAAGAGGAGCAGCCGCAGCCGCAATAAATGGGCTCGGGGGGTCAAGAAGAAGCACTGGGGGGTGCGGGTTGGATCTTAGGAGGAGGTGGTATCTGCGTGCACGGGGTCCATAGCTGTCAACTTTTCCCATTTCTTCCGAGGAATCCTATTCGGAATAAGGGAATGTCCCTTAAAAAAAGGGAAACGTTGACAGCTATGACGGGGTCTGGTCGGGGTTTAGCGCGGCTGCGAGGTGGGAGCGGGGCTGCGGGTTCCTGGGTGCCCCCTTGGAGCAATAGCAGGAATAAGTCCTGCCGAGGGTGGTGTTTTTGCAGTGGGTTGCCCCGCTGGGTTGTGAAGCACTGGGTGAAGTGTTCTAGAGAAGGGAGAACTGTAATCAGCGCCCGTGGATGTCAGGTAGGGAAGCTTAAGTTTCAGACTTTGAAGGGGCCACTGAGTGTTGGACAGCTGACCATATAAGCTAGTGGACACTGGGGGTGCTCCACAGATTAAGGGGTACCTGGTGCAGTTTGGGCGCAGGAAAGGAGAGAGATTCGACTGGGCGGGTAAGAGCAAGGCTGGCAGTGGTGGCTTTGGGTAATAGGGTGCTGGGGGTGTACCCTGAGATAATGCAGAACTGGGTGGAGACTTTCAGGTACCTAGCAAACGTCTGCTGATGGGAGGGTGAGTGTGAAGCTCAGGGGCAACAGGGATGTGAGGAAGGTAAGAGCCACTGGGCAGCAATTTTGGGATATACCAACCAGTATTTTGGATGGAATTGGTTGCTCTTGGGTTCTCTGATTCATATTGTGCCATGAGAAAGACAGGAAGCCCACTGTACACAAGTAATAGATTGTTTACTGCTTAACCCCACCTTGTTGGATTTACAGTGAGGGTAGTAAAAGGCTGGATTCTCCACCTGTCTTTTGAACCCATGTTTACAGCTCAAGTGGGGATGCTAATAATCTTTGAATCTTGCTTCCTTTTCATATCATGTAATCATTTTGAGCTATTGTGAATGTGGAACTGGGGATGGATTCTGAATGAATTTCACTGGCGTGGTGATGTGTGTAAACTTTGTAAGTAACACAGGACTCTTCCTCAGAACCAATGTCCTGTAAGAGTGATAGAAGCATATCAGGTTTTCTGCTTTTTCGTTCTTTTTTCGTTTGGACACAAACTCGAAGATAACTACTATGCGTTTCTCTTATTTAATTTTCTTAACCCTGGTTCCCAGCATCCAGCATGAGGAAGATTCCAGTATGACTTGCAAGTTTACATCCATCATTATAACTTCTAGTCATTCCTATATTGCTTTTGTTTTGGGTTTTCCCCCCTGTAAAAAACGTTTTGGGTATCGTCTGTTCTGCTTGTGGTGTGGACATTGTCTGCTAAGGAGAATCCCATGGCTTGAAAGAGTATTGTAGGACAGTTCACTGCTAGAATGGTTGTCTTAATGTCTGTTCCAGGCTGTTTGTGGGGACAAGAGATGGGGTTGGTGCTGACTTTGTGAAGTATTGACAGCTGTCAGCTGTGGTGAAAGTGAACTGTCCAATTCCTTGTGCACAACTGGGGTTAGATGTGCTTTCCTTTAGTGTGGCGATGAATGTGCCACACTGTTATTACCAGCGGTAATAACAAATGAGAGATGGGGCCCTGATTTTCCTCAGGTGGTGCTTGGTTTTTTGAGGAGTTTTAATTTTAAAGAGAGCAAGAATGAGTGTGTGCACGCTTAATGTTTAAGCAGGCGTATTCCTTTGCTTGACCTTGCTTCCTCTCTTATCCGTAGCCATCGAAATTCAGCCTTCATGCAGCTGGCATGGCGCATCAGATTGTCTCTCAGGCTGACCTGATTTTTCCAAAAATGAAGCAACTGCACTTCCTGGTGGCTTCTGAACACTCCGTGCTCTGCCTGAGCACCAGTTCTCTATGCAGTTCTTAATTGCAAATGTTCATGCTTTGCTTTTGCTCCTCTTCCCCCTTGCCCTTATTCTCTCTCTCTCTCTCTCTCTCTGAACTTACTGTCTCCTGATTATTAATGATTAAACCCCAGATTTGATGTTGGGGAGGAATGTGGAAAGGGAGGAGGAGCAACATCTGTAGAAGATGGTATGTTTAAATAGAACAGAAAGCACATGAATTTTTCTACTAACCTCCTGATATGCAACATTTCTGCCTGCTGTCGCTCCCCTCCCTCCACAGGCTCTCACCTGCCCGCAAAACCAAAACTCCATTTACATTTGCCATCTAACTGGTGACCATGATAACCTTTTTCAGCAGGGGGCCGGTCCACCGTCCCTCAGACCATGTGGGGGGACCGGCCTTGAACAAAAAAATGAATGCATTCCTATGCCCCGCAAATAACCCAGAGATGCGTTTGAAATAAAAGCACACATTCTACTCATGTAAAAACACGCTGATTCCCGGACCGTCCGTGGGCCAAATTTAGAAGGCGATTGGGCTGGATCTGGCCCCTAGGTTGCCTACCCCTGCTCTAGTGTTTCTGATTCTGTTAATATCTTTGTTAGTGACTATCCGGGTCAGTGAAATTCGTTAATGCTGTAGTTTTATCATTACATGGCCTGATGTCTAGTAAGCTTATGTCAGTTGTCAGTTGGTATGTAAAAATGTCCTCTGGCTAACACAGAAGTGAAGCTTTGCAAAACATTCTAGGCCACGAATGGCTGGTGCAAAGGTGTGTGCAAGACAGCTAGCGCAAGGATTGCATTTTCAGTTGTGCTGACTGCCAGATCTTATCTGCTCAATCTTGGTTCAATGGAATTTTGGGATGTTTACAGTTCTGTGCTATAACCAAGTTAGGGGCTGTCCATCAGCAAGAAATCATGACTCAATATATTTTGGGTATGCTTGAACAATTGGTATCTATAGGCACTGTTTTTGATCCCACTATGTGACAATCCTCTGGATAGCAAAATACTTAAATGTTGGGGCAAGACCACCACAAATGCAGATGTTCTGTTGCTACTAAATCTCATTCCCAACAAACCTATTTGTTGTTTTTTTTTAAAAAAATGTTCATTATCTTGTTAGATATCAACAATATGGTAACTTCTCTTTTAAATTAACACACATTACTGCTACTCCAGAGAAGACAATTTACGTTTGTTTTCTTCAATAGATGAAAACTATTAAGTTCATTAATAATAATTAAATTTCATTCATTTTGAAAAGGTTCTTTAAAATACTATCCTTTCTGTAAGTCTTTATCTGTGTTATATAAAATATATATAAATAAAAAAAATACCAATCCCCTGGTGCTTGCTTAATTTTCCAAAACCTAATTATTTCATTCTTTAAAACATTTGGAAATTTCTGAAACCTGCCTTGAAATTGCCTCCTCTGACCTGGAAGCACTGCCCCATAATCTCAGAAGTCTAGATGGGTTTGCGGTCATTCACTTAGGAGGAAAATGTACTTTGTGTGTATAGGAATACAGGATTATCACCTTAGACTCCACCTTGATCCATCTAGCTCAGTATTGGTTATACTCCAGAGTTTCAGACAGGAAACACTCCCAGCCTCATACAGAGACTTCAGGGATTGAATCTGAGACATTCTGCATGCAGAGCAGACACACTGAATTTCATCACGTATTCCTCAGGCTTGGGGTGGGCCGAGGAAAATAGGTTCCAGGGGAAAGTCCCGCTCAAAATTAACCCCTAAGTGTACATTATAAGCATACCCAACAAAATGAGCAAGGGACGGACAACCATCTTTACTGGGAAGTAAGTGTCACTGTTTGTAACAGCATTTGCATTCAAGTAAGTGTTCTTAGTATTATATCGTTAGCAAGAGGGGACAGCTGAAGGGCATTCAGTGTGCTTTAGGAGTGGATTTGGATGGAATAGTCATTATTACTTAGATTGCATAGTGTAGCCAGCATGGTGCCCGGCCACAGCTGTTCTGAACTGCAAGTCCCATAATTTTCTAGCTTAATCCATTTTAGTTGGGAGTTATAGTTCAGAACATCTGGAGGGTACCATGCTGGCTATCCCTGCATATGCTTTCTCCAGCATGGAGCACAGAGTGATATACATAGTGTTGTGCATATGTGTGTGGGCTGTTCTCCCATCTTATCGTCACAACAGGACTTGGAGTGAGTTCAGCTAAGAGGCATTGAACTTTGGATTTGAACATTGAACTGTTCTGTCAAGATCTGAGACTGTGTGCGCTGCAGTGGCCTTCCACAGAGTTTTCAGGCATGTTTTCTGATTAGCGTTTGGGAGATTGGCAGGGCTGAGTGGAATGGAACAAACTGAGAAAAAATATCTGGTTTGAAAATTGATTTTTAAAAAATGTTTCCTCCTGCGAAATGAGAGCAATTGCCAAGAGCTTAAAAGGAGGCAATGCAATCAGGATTTTTTGGGTGGAGGGAGTGTTGTGTGTGTGTGTGTGTGTGTGTGTGTGAATCTTTAGAAATTTGTGGTGCTGTAGAAATGGCTGCTCACACCACCTGGTGACTTTCAAGGTAGGAGTCATGTCTCTTTAAGAGGGATGCAAAGGACAAGATGGAGTTT